ATGTTGTGGACTACGGATCTCATCTTGGACTTTTTTTTTTTGCAACCGAGTGTGGAGTCTTTCTGGGGGCTGGAGGAGGGGCACAGGGAGAATATTTTAGGGATAAGCAGAGAATTTGACCTGACTGACCCCGTTGGCGGGATGCGCGCACAGTCACACTTATCCTTCCCAGAACATTGCTCCCTCCCCAGCCCTGGAGCGAGCAAACAGAAGCCTCCCTCCTGCTGGTCTTTTCTGTCTTGCTCTGTTCTGTTTTGATGCTGTGGATTCAACGAAATGGCATAGGAGTCTTTAAACCTAAAAAACAGACATCAAATTTTTGTGTGTCTGTGCAAACATATATATTTTTTTTTTCTGTAAGTTTCCACAGAGTTTGACACTCCAAAAGACGAAAAAGCTAAAATCACAGCTGTGGGCTCCATCAACATGGCAAGTCCCAACAGTCTTCAAGGTAAGTGAGCTGCAAATTCTTATTTGAAAGCGAGGATTGAGGGCCGAGCTGAGGAAGCCCTGGAGGAGCTGGAGGAAGGGAAGGTTCCTTCAAGGTTTGGGAAGACTCTCATCCTGTCACAGATTTGTCTGGGTTAAGGATGTGTCTCTTTTCCAATAGTATCAAATCAAATTAGTTTTCAAACATGTAGACTGGGAAACCAAGATGAGTCTTTGTTAATGCAAGGTCTACTTAGGTTTCTTTTTAGCAACCCAAAGTGACCTCCACCGCAGAGCGTCCCAGGACTCTTGAGAGAAGGGAGTATTCCAAGTTTATACCTCCTTAGACCAGTGGAGCTTGGGGAGAAGAGAAGAGAATCAATTGTGAATTCAGCACTGGAGCAGCACCAGAAAAGCTCAGAAGGAGGTGGGAGGGAGAGAGCGGGGAGCTGGAGAAGGTATGGCAATTGCCGGATGAGGAGCTTAAATTATTCAACAAACTCGTCCACAAAACTAACAGGTATCCTAGAAAAATCACTTTTCATCCTTAGTCCCACCTTACTTGTTCACACCCAATGGGCAGGAGTGCCCCGAGGATGTAAGGAAGTATTTGCTTCCACTTCAATAGTTTTATTTCTGCTCATGCCTCCCTTACCTACAGAACCATGGCTTCCCAATCTGTGAGGTTCATGGGTGTGCTGGGATTAGGACAGTGATCGGTCCATCATCAAACTAGGTTCTCAAACAACAATAATCACATCCCAATTTCAGAGAAAAAAAAAAAGAGTTTAAAATTATAAGCTTTTCTTCACAAGGTTATTCCAACTTTGGTCCTTGCCTTTGCTCACGTGGCATCTAGTTTTGTTCATGCTTACATATTTGGTTATGTTGAAACTTATAAATCATTACTTCCAGCTTACAAAGAGCCCACTCATTCCAGGTGGTCTGTAACCTCACATTCCAGCAAAAGATAGGGAACTCACCCAGGGCTGGGCCACGTTATTTTTTTGTTGTTGTTGTTGTCCTTTGAGTTTAAACGATTTGTCTGTGGGCCAGCTGGTATTCTAGGTTGTGGTAGAGAATTGCACAGGACTCTGGGGCTAGAGAGGAAAGAAACTGCTTCATCCTACCTTGCTCACAGCCCAGACCGGTTTTTGTGTGCTGTTTTTAACATCAGACATATTTTGTAAACTCAAACCATACTTCTGGTGATGTTTATGGAAGAGAGCTTACATTTCTTAGTCAAACCCTCCTCCCTTACAATTGGTTAGTTAGCCTTCATGAAATCTCAAATCGAACTGTTGCTTCTCAAAACAATAAGGTGGTTGTTACTACCGATAGCCTGCTTTCCTGTGATGTAATGATTGTTTGAGATGGTCCCCAGAACCCGCCCAAGGCTTTATTTGGCAATGGCAGGAATTACCATTTTGTTTCTTATTTTAAAAGTCATTAAAGATCTAAGCTTTTAAAAAGTAATAGTTGCCACTTCACTAGCCCTTCTGCATCTGATGGCTTTTGCAGTTGTTATTGATTGTTCTTCAGTGGGTATTTATTTATTGAGTATCTTCTTTTTGGGTGTCAGCCCCTGGGGTCCAAGGTGTCTAGGTTTCTGCTTTCCAAAAGTCAACAGAGAGCACTTTTCTGTTGAAACAAGTCACAGGGAGAATGAAATATTCTTGAGACTTCTTTGGGGTGTTACTAAAATAATCTTTACACCTTCACCCCAGAAACAACAACATGAGCAAGTTAATGGCCAACATGAGAAGGTAATGGTTGTTAACTTCTGGGAATCCTTGGCCGTGGCCATTTTCTTTCAAGTTTAAGTGACTGGCTTCTCTTCATGTTTGAGACCTTTTTCAGGCATTTGGCCGAGTGATAGCTGCCCACTGTGGTCCCCTGAGTATTTTGCAGATTGAGTATTTTTAATCTGGCTTCAGAGCACTCTTTCTGGTCCGCACTCCCAGACTCCCATCACCTTCAGTGCTGTGCAGCTGATAGTTCTATGGAAAGCTCTTCCAAGCACAGTAAACTCACCTGACAAGGAGAGAACGGGTGACATGTGATCCCAGGGAGCACCAGTATCTAAGCTTGAGGGTTCCAGCCATTGTCTAGAGGCAAATTTGGTGTTCCTAATTCATACAGAATAAAAATTAAAAGCCTCCAAATGCATTCTGGCTAAGTGAGATCTGGAAGAGTACATTCGAGCCCTTCAAAAGAGAAAGATTCTACAGGTCTATGATCTGTGAAGTTGGGCTAGTTTGAAATAGAGCCCTGCACTACTCTGAGGAAATGCTCCACAGTGTGGATTTCGTATCAGAGAATAGTAACAACATGGCAGACTGATGTGGCACTCACCGTGAGCGAGGCTCCCTTCCAAACACTTTATGTTTAAGTTATTTAAATCACCGAGTCCTCTGCCAACCCTAGAAGAAGTAGGCACTATTATTATTGCCATTTTTGCTTTGGGTCACACATTTACAGTTGGTCCTTTGTATCTGTGGGTTCTTCACTCATGGATTCAACCAAATGCAGATTGAAAATACTCAAAAAACATTGTATTTGTAATGAACATTTAGACTTTGTTTCCTTGTCATTATTCTATAAAAAATACAATTACTTACATAGCATTTACATTGTATTAGGCATTATAAGTAATGTAGAGATGATTCAAAATATGCATAAATATGTGTGTTGGTTATGTGCAAACACTCCTCTATTTTATATCAGGACTTGGGCATCCACAGATCTTGGTATCCTTGAGGTTTTTAGAACCAATCTCCTGTGGCTCCAAAGAGGACTATATAGTGTCTGACTTATTGCTCTTTCTTGAATAACATCTACTCATCTTTGTTATTATAGGGCACTTAGGAATTCCCTCTTATCTACTGGTTGTGAAGAGTAACCATGTCTGCACTAAGATTGCCCTAGTTTGTATCCTTGTTCACCACTAACTAGCAGTGTGACCTTAAGCACATCACTGCCTTCTCTGTGCCTCAGTTTTCTTCTGTAAAATGGGAGCAATTGCAGTACTACCTCACCAGCTGCTGTGAGGATTGAAGGACTATATATATGTAAGACAGTTAGAGTAGCACTTTGTATACAGGAGGTACTATTTTTATTACTGGCTCTTTTGTCCTTCTAGCCTCATCTCCCAATGCCAACTAACACAGCAGTCATGCTGAGCTGCTCAAGACTCCCGTGGACCTCTGAACTCTGTCCAATCTCAGCACCGTTGCACAGGCTGTTCCCTTTGTCTGGCATGCCTTTCCCTCTTCCGCAGTTGGGACGATCCCTCCTCTTGCTAAGTTCAGCTTGAATATTCCCTCCTCTGTGACCTGTCCTTAGTGCCCTCTCTTAGTCTCCAGGTAGCTGTCCCCTCCTTTCTTTGTGATCTCAGTAGCTTCATACCCTTCACCTATCAAACAACTTACTATTAACAACTGCATTATTGAACATTATTGAACACTTATGTGCCCAACAGCGTGTCAATGTTTTTCTTCCTACTTTTTGAGATAGTGACATCTCCATGAGGCAGGGTTATGTTTGATAATTGTTCATGTCCATTTCCCCCAGTAGACTATGATAGTA